ATTGCCTGCTGAATGTCTGATATGAAATTAAGGTAAAATTGTTAAAACATGACAGGGGACGACTAGGAGCAAAGCAAAACGAGAAGCGTCCTTCACTACAGCGATTCGTTAGCACATACTCCTGGGCGGAGTATGAAGATGATCATTCTGAAACAAAGTAAGTTCAAAAAATAATCCCCTAGGGGGGTGTGTGTGGTATGGGGTGTGTGTGTGTTTTCTTATTTGTTTTGTTTTTAACAACTGTTAACTATCAACCACTTGATATCAAGTCAAGTTATTGTGTACTCTGTCAAATTTAATGCTTGATGGAAAAGTCTTGGAACTTTTGATACTTCTCTGCAGAGACAAGGGGTCAGAATCACCTCCTGAAGTACAAGAAGAGAAAGCAAGGAAAGAAAGTATCTCTGAAAAAGGGAAATGTTCATCAAAATGGAACCTAGAGTCAGCGTAAGTCTTCCCATACAGATTGTTACCAGTTAAAGCAGTGGCTGGGCGGTGGAGGTGGAAAGAGGAAGCAAAGTTGTACCTTTTAGTTTATTTGGTTGTTACTACCAACTTTTTAATCGGGAATGAGTAATCTCAGGAGCTAAAAAAGACCCCAACAGACACTAACTACTACACAGTGAGATAAAGGGGAGCCTAGTGCTCTAATGCCAGCTGTATTGAACACTATGTAATGGCTGTAACAGCTAGGCTTACTAGGTCATACTAAGATGTAGTCTTGTGAAATGATCAGGGATTTATGAAGCCTGTGCAAAGCTAACAGCAGCTTTGGCAGGAATTGAGGGTCAGGAAGCCACTAACACTAACTCTAGACTACAACAACTAATTTCTCTGGCGCTCTTAAGTCAAGGAACAGAGCGCTGTCCTAAAGAAGCATCCCTTGGAAGCCCCTAAACTTAAAATCTTGCATTACAGAAAGAAGTAGGTCATGCTTTCCCTGCAGAGGAATTGTTTATCCTCTGCAAATATCCAACTCCAAGCCCATACTTTGAGCCTTTCTGATCAAGGGGAAGATGAGACTACCTCTGTTAGCACGTAAAACAGTGAACAGAGCAAGAACAAGCATCAGTTCTTTCTGCTGCTTGACAAAGGATGGAGGTACCTAGTTTCATGAGAATTTTAAGATTTGGATGCTCAGTTCAGGAAAGACATGATGAAACTTAAGAAGCCCTGAAGGTGCTAGCCTTACAAGCAAGATAAGTGCTTCATGATCTGCAAGACAGCTTTTATGGTTGTTCCCCCTGCTAAGTTTTCAAGAAAAACTGAACCAACCTATGACTGACTTTTCTCTCCAGGTGCAACTTAATGTCATCCTGGGCATCTCATCTGAAGACTTCCTTTGGCAATGCTAACAAAACTCTCTGGGTTTCTGTTTCCATCCTGGTCCTGCTTGCTGCTCTCACAAGCTTCCTCACTGGGCTCTCTCTTCAAAGACCAGCAGATGCAGCACCTGTAGGAACTGGGGACTCCTGGACTTCACTACAGCAACTGTTGTGGCCATATACAGGACTCCAACACAACGGACCACCACCAGTATAACAAAGGTTCTGAGTTACAGTTTGTAAAGCTGCATTTCTGAGTTCAAGCTGACTGTATGAGAAGCTGAGATAGTATATTTAAGGCTTTTTTTTTTTAGCATGATTTGAAATTGAGAAATACTTTTTTTTCCCCCCCTTTTCTGACAAAGTGGTTATCTTCCAAATGTCTAGAAGAGTCTCAATCCCATTCAAGTTTAGAATAAACCAGTTAGTCACTTTGAACACAACTAGCAATAAATGGGACTAAGTGGTCTAGCTATGACAGAACAGATTTTTTTTGTTTGTTTTAAAAAAAATAGAATGTTTGCATTTCAGTCATTAAAGCTATTCCAATGATTTGAATAGGAAACGATTAAAGACTTCAAATGTAACTTTATTGAAAGCTTTTGATAATAAAGTTTTAAAGGAACACATGCAGTATTTAAAAGTATGTTTAGGAATATGTTAATACTCTTGTAGCAAGGAGCAACTGATATACGGTATCAATGAACAGGAAGTTAGCTTTTTTTACTTTATCAATTGCTTCGCTGCTGGCAAAATCTTTAAGCATATGGTAGAAAGTAGAGTGAAATTCAGAGTCATCTTCTAGCTCTTCTGAAAAAGCTTCACTAGCTTCAGTGATTTTAAGCTTCTGTGCTCTCTGACCATCAAACATGTAAAGAGACCAGTCTCCATCTTTGATAGAATCTGCTTGAAGATGCTCACTTACCTATTGCAGAAAAAAATGGGCTGTAAGATTCAGCCTATGACACTGACAAAATGAATTCTAAGAGTAGACAATTGCTGTATGAGGCTTCATGTAACACAGAAACAAAATAAGGCGCTCTTTTTGGATGCCTAAAACAATATGAATGCTCTGTCCAAAGTCACACAGCCAGGTACTGCATCAACACCACAATCTTCAGTCTAGTTTGCCTCTGTAGAACGGAAGGCTTGGCCACCCTGACTCTCTTGCTGCTCCAGACTGCTGTGGAGAGAGTAACTGAGTGCAACGGCCATTATTTAGGCTTTAGTCGTTGCTCCTGAGGTTAAATACATGTATACTTTTAACTCGGAGCATGGGAGAAACGATTTCAACAGTATGGTATGCTCTGTATCTGTAAACACAATTGAGAGTATTTTTCCCTTTTTTTTTTAAACTTTTTTACTAATTTTTTACCTATCATTGAGTAGTGATAGTAAAGTGAACTAAAAAGTATGTGGTTAGAAGCTCTTAAATTGTTTATTCCCTTCCTTGCAGTGGGGAACAAATGAAAACACCCATATTGCCAAGAAGAAACTTCCAGGTATTAATTGGTAATTAGATCACCAAGTCTATTCAAAGGGCCTGTAAAACAGGATGCTTAATGAAAAATCACCTTCCAGCTATATCACCCCAGCATGGGCTAAAGCCTCATTAGCTAACCTATTAATTATACATCTTTGTTACTGAGATTTGTGTCCTGTTTGAGCTCAAATTTTTGTTCCTTACAAATGTGTGAGTTCAGAAGCAGTGGAGTTTTGTTGAACGCAGGATGTTACACTAAAGCAGTATAGCACTAGATCCTAAAACTGCTGCACTAAAGGAATAGGTCAGGTTTTGAGGACAATGATTATGAAAGCGGTATAACTGACTGAAGTTATTTGTTACTTTGGTTAATTTAGTCTAAATCCACAAACCTTAAGCACTACTTGCTCTTCACCTGATTCCAGATTCCATTTGCTCCAACCGAAAGCAAAAGCAGATGCAACCAGTGCCATCTGTTGATATGCCCTAACTTCCACTAGGGGAGCCTGTAATGCAAAAATGTAAGTTAGCAAATATCTATCTGTATTATAGAAATCTAAGAGAAAGCTTACTTTAACCAGAGACTGCTCTGTTTAAACACATGCGTACATGCCAGCAGCTTCTGCACAGCAGATCATGCTTAAGGGAAGGTTTGGTTGGTTTTTTTTTTTTTTCTCTTTTTAATTGAGGTAACAAAGAAGCAAAACAAGCCGCTGTTGTCCTCACCTTTTTGTTCACGCAGACGTAACTGTGAGAATATGCTCCAGGGAAAATATTTATACCAGCCTTTTTCAGCACTACTGTTAGGTGAACTGGAGTCATCCATTTTCCTGTCAAATGGGAAAGTGCATCCTTCTGTTCTACCACGATTGAAGACAACATAACCTGATGTTCCTGTTGTACAAAGCAATGAAAGCAACTTACTGGCGATGAAAGCTATTTTCTGCTTCAGGCCTCAAGTAATTATTGCTTTTTTGCTATTCTGGATATCACATTCATCATCTACCAGCATGGTCTGTAAAATATTCATCCATGTATCTTGTGGAAAGCCCCATCACTGTAGGATTCCAGAAGTGACACTGGTGTGCTGGCTCACACTTACAATCATACCTGTTACTGTACTGATTTTATATAGCAACATGAACGTGAATAAACTTGCATAAATAACTTGCTCTTTCTAAAAGTTCAAGTAGCATAGGAGTTAGGTTGCTTGAAGTGCTTTTATTTCTTCTCTTAGCATAGTTGAGAGAGGAAGGGAGCAATTTTTAAATCCTAAAACTTGTGAAACAGTCTTGAATTCAGTAAGAACTTAAAAGGAGTAGCACTACTGAAGTACTTCCTGAAACTCTGCAGCACAATCATGCAGCAGCTTTCTTCTAACCCATTCACAAAAAAGAATTAAAATTAAATCACCAGTACTGTTCCTTACACTGCTTGGCAACTAGGGAAGTTCCCTTTGTTTCCAATAGGGACAAAGTGAGATTCAAATCATTCTTGTGGAAGCATCTCAAATTCTTAATAAAGGACATTATATAAAATTTGTACTTTAAAAAATATATATAGCTTTATGGCAAACACATTGTTGACTGTACCTTAACTTGTATCTGAACCTCTGCAAAGGCTGTAGTAACTGTAAGTATTAATTCGTCTGTACCAGTAGGGTGCAATTCCCATGCCTGATAAGGCATGTTGAGATGAGCATCCTGGAGAAGTGCTATTGTATAAAAGGCATCCATCTCAAAAGTGACATTCCCCGTGTCTTTCTCATACGTTACGTTGCTGATGCCATCTGTTTGCCACTGTTTGCCTTCATCAAAAAAAAAAAAAGGGAGAAAGAAAAAAAAAAAAAAAGATAGTTAAAGCTTGTGCTTGTGCTGGGGGGAAAAAAATAGTAAAATATCTTAAGTAAGTTGGCTAATATTCAGTTATGAAAAAATAACAGGCAAAAAATAAAGAAAGAGGATCGTGTAAGGAACTTCCCCTCCCCTCATTTTACAATTAAATAGTGCAACAACTGTAAATAGTTTAAGTAAGTACAAGATTGGGCTAATTCTGACATGAAAGCTCCTTAATCTCAAAAAAACTACAAATACCAATGTAATGGTCATTTTCAACTTGCTGTCCAACAGTCCAGAAGCTCGTTTACAGTAGTAATGTCAAACATCAAATTATTTATGTTCTACTTTGTTTCATGAATGCAACATCAATGGTATTTTTCTAATAACTAGAAAAAATATATTTTTTTTAGTATTTTAAATGATTTAATACTAACACACATATGTGTTAATTTGGCTCAAAAGAGACTTTATAGTACCTCATTCTAGCAGAATTTGTTTTGTGATTATACAGGTGTACAGCTGGCTGATTTAACAGTGTAATTTTTTTTTTCCATTACCATTAAAAAGCTACAGTAAAAAGCCCCAAGCAGTCCATTGTTAAAAATAAGGCAGAAACAAAACAAAATCAAATAAAATTGGTCCCCAAACTATTTCTGGGCCTTGAATTGGCTCATATCTTTACAGCTAGAGCCTGAAAATATTCAAACTTGGGTTTAAATTTCATTACTCAAACTTAAGGTAAAGTTATGTTCTAAGCTGGTACCGGCAGGATCCCATCGTGCTATTACAGGTTCTTCAAAATATATCACGTTGTCAGAAAGCTTAAGTGTGATCCCTATTGGTGGATGTGTGCCATCTTCAGGCTCTTCTGATTCTGGGGGATATGGATAAGCCTCCAATCCAACATCAAGTACCTTTGGTAAGACAGGAAGAAAAAAGACAGCTAAAATATTTTAGTTAGTTAGAAGATGCAATACCTAGTCAGCTGTGGCATTACCTAAAATGCATATTAATATTTAAAGACTGTTAGTAGTAATGATTTGCTAACATTGCACATTTACAACAAATATTTTGTCTTTATCTGCCTTCTAAAGCTTTCACTGCCTCTTGTTTGGCTTTTAACAAACATTAAGGTGAAACGCAGCCTAATACGGAAATTGGTTTAAGATCTGCTGCAATACTCACGCCCTTCATGGAATTTACAATGTGGAAGCCTGTAGAAGGGTGACTAAAAATAGGCCTTTGAACCCCTTACACGCTGTGGTGGCCCCTTTAAGCCAGTACCACACCGTAGGTGTAGTCATTTCTGAATAGATCCAAAGGCTCCAAACATCCAAGAGCACCTGAGAGGAAAGCGCAGTTATTGCGCCAGTTTGGCCACACAGTGTCAAAAGGCATAGACGAGGTCACATGCAATTGGTACTGCAGTTTTGTGTCCCTAGCTGGGAACGACAACCCCCATGCCTCTCTAGCTGAACACAATCTTGCTTTCTTGGGCTGTATGTTACCTCTGTGAATTTCACTTATTAATGGTTTTAGCTGCACAATTAAAAAAACAAAAACAAAAAAAAAAAAACGCTGTGATATAGGTTAATGCTGCATCAGGCACCACAAGTGGGAAAACTAAGACATGCTGGCTGTACGCCACAAGCATCTTGCAGAGCCTGGAACCGAACTGAAAATAACTTTGTTACCCTCCATCTTTAAGTGATTCTTTCACATAGGAAAAAGTAAGGCCTTCTCTCTTAGCTTGTACTTCAGCAGTCACCTTTAAGAGCATTTTCCAACACAATGCTATAAAACAACTGTGCTGGCCGTGCTGATGAGCACTGATCAAGCAGAGCTCTCTGCGTGCATGCTGACTTGTTTGCCTCTGACTGCTCTGAAAATTGGCAAGCGTAGCTGAAAAAGCATGATTTGAAAACTTAGTCTGTAAGCTCACTGCTTAGGAAATTAGCACGTGTACACCCTGTAGCGACACACCTCAGAACAGCTGTCCAGGATGATGGGAGGAAGACTGCATGAGGTGTAATATGCTTACTCACTTACCTCCACCATACTCCAGTTCTTGATTTCTTTAGCCCGAGGTGGGAGCTGTAGCACATCAATATGGTACACACCACCCACTGGTACAAACTGTCGCAAATCAACAATATTTTCATCAGTTATCTCTTCGTCTTTTTCACTGATCTCTGCCTGCATCAGTGGAATCTGAACTAAATAATAACAACATGAGTTAGCTCACTCAGTGCTTAAATTAACACAGTAAAATTTTGTATCTATCTATCGCTAGTATTTTTTGCATTTGCACAGAAAGCCTGCGTGTGAAGGGCTTCACCTTCTGTAGTATTTCAGCACCATCTAGTGGTGTTCCACAAGCCTTTTAACAATTAATGAGGGAGGAAAAAGGATATTTGGACAATGAAAAAAAACCTTTCGTTTTGGTACCGAGGTTTTTAAAAGATTAATTTCTGCTCTAATTTTGTAGTCAATTCAAAATGCATCATTCAGGTTCAGCATTAAACTGAGCAAATGAATCCATCACTAACCATAGAAGAATTTCACAAGTACACAAGACTAGATTCTGGCCAGGGCCAATAAGGCTGTACTGTCATTAAAAAGGCGAGGCAAATAATAATAAATAATAGAAAGAGGTAAGGCAAGGGAAACACAAGCCACATGCTGAAGGTAAGAAAGACAGAAAATATTTAGGAACAGCAAAAGGGGCTTAATGTGTGAAACAAAATTTTCACAGAAAATTTTTACATTACAAAGATAATTTGTAATATTATTTTTGGATGTATTTATATATATATAAAACATCATACATTAAATAGATATATATTGTATAATACACACACACACTTGTACATATTTATTTGTTTTACCCAATTAACTGAAAAATGTTGATACAAAGCACCAATGACATGAACAGAATGCCTAAACATGTTTTCTTAAAAAAATATATATATATAAAAAGCATTGTACTGGATGTTACAGAAAGAGAAAGCAAGTTATTTTTAAAAAGATCAAAAAAGTGTTCAATAATGTAAAAATAGCTACTGTAAATATTATAAAAATTACATTTTAAGAAGGGAGATGATCTGAACAAACTACAAATATCTACGCAAGTTATCTTCAAGTTTTTTTTTTTTTTAAAAGAGTGCTGTTAATTTTATCTTAATGCCCGATTTGTTTGCACTTATTAGCATTACATAGAACTTCTACTCTACTGTATTCACAGAAGATAGATTTACAGGAAGTAAAAAAATTTTTATTACCAGCTATGGTGGTGGTTTGCACTTGAATACACTTTTAAAAATAACATTTTAAAAAAATATTTAAATGCCTTCAAAAAAAAAAAAAAACAAACACTAGATGCCCTCCCAAGGTAAATTAACTTTTTAACATTTGTTCAACAAAGTTAAATTCAGAGAAGAACCTGTAGTAGTTCCTGCTGTTTTCCCTGTTGTTGCATTCCTGATTTTGCTCTTCTTTTTTCTCTTCTACATGGCTACCTGTTTTCACCGAATTTGTGGAAACTTTCAAACTCCATTCTGAAATTTGGTTGAATGGGCTTGCAAATCATTAGCATGCCAGCCACAGCATGATTTCATCAGCCTCCTCTCCTTATAAAGGTAAGCTTGAAGACATACATGTATAATTATTGCATTTCTGGGCACACACATGTTAGATAATACTAGAGTAGGGATTTTTCAAAGCCTTACAGAAATAAAATAGCAAATCCCACTGAATGATGCCTAAGTCCTTTATACACTCGTGAAAACTACCTTGTTTCGATAGCCTTTAGGTAGCAGTCTGAGGATTTGGTTACTGGGACTGTGCATAGCAAACAGTTCTTTCAAAACAAGCACCAGGCTGTACAGTTCAGCCAGTCTAGGATGAATAACTTGCAGTCATTTTATTTAAGACGGTACTAAAAAAAAACTCGTCGCCTTATTAAATCGAAGCACACCACAACACTGAAGATATTTGTAACTTATGGAGGCCAGATAAACAGTTTTAGCTCTTGGGAGGAAGGCCTCTTTTAGCAAAGTACTTCAGCATGTATCTTTGTTTAAGCACACGTTTAAGTAAAACTCAGTAATACCTACAGGACCTGAGCGCTCATCATTATGCACAATTGATTCATTACCTTCTAGAGGAGTCACTCTCACCAAACAGACTGGCAGATTTATAAAGATAGTCTGTCTCAAATACCCATAAACACTCAGATTGCAGGGACAAAATCCATCTTCCTACCTATACTTTTTCTCTCCCCCCGTTTAACAATCATTAATAGAAATGTCAACGAAACTAAGTGTTATCATGACAGCAACATATTTATAATCTTTGTTCCATTCATGTAGAGATCTATATAACAATGTTTCCCTAAGTAACATATAGCATTTAGAATCAATAATTTTGCAATGCTGCACATAAAAACTAAACAAATACCTTGTGATAGTATGTCAAAGATTTCTGATTTCTTCTCAATTTCCTCTTCTGTCTTCTCATTTATATCAGCTATGTTATGGGTACTTCCTTCGAAAGAGCTAGCACTCTAAAAAGCAAAAGACATTTTTTCACTAGGCAGAGATAGACATGTTTTAAAAAAAAAAAAAGGGGTATCATCTCCTTCAAAGCAACAGCCCAAGGAAAAACAGTTCAGTTCCATCCCTGCAGCAAGATTTGCACAGATCTTGCTATAGGGTCAAGGTTTTAGTATAGGACTATCAGGATTGAATCTACAGAGAAATCATTTTTAGCTAGCTAACTCTTTAGCTTTAGAACTGCATAAGTACCTGGAGATAAACATGTAATAATTACTTCATTTACACAACAAATTCCATCTTCAAGTACCATACAAGCATTTATAACCTTTTTAGCAGTGCGTGAACACAAATGCTAGGTTTATGCTGACTTTGCAGCTAGCAGACTGACACAAAGAAAACTTAAGCCCAGACTGACCTCAAAGCCATAATAAAATTGTGCCAAAAACCATACTTGCAGACTTAGCTTATGTCTTGCTCATGATATTTATTCTCTTTCTCATACTGTTTTCTATTTTCAAAACACTACCCTAGATTTCCGGCCAAATTTTCAACCCAGATATGAACTCATCCCTGTCATAACAGACTCCTCTGCAAGCACAGCAGTAGAACGGCATTTCTGTTTGTGATCCATGCATGTGAATCTAGGGATAGGCACCTCTTGTTTTCTGCGTATGCCTGCCAGCAAGTAGGAAGAACGTGCAGCTCCCAAAACAGCACAGAAGTTGAGGAGAAAAATGTTTTTACGCACATATGTGGGGGAACTCAAGACAGAATCAGACAGAATAAGTGCCTGCACTAGCTGAGAGAAGTGGAGTCTTGACAGGGAACTGGAAAATCACAACGATGGACTGAGAAAAAAAAAATTAAGACCTGGAAAAGAAGAGGAGAAAGAGCAAAATGAGGAGCTTGAAGCAAGTCTGAAAAATGTAGGTGAAAAGTACTTAAAAACAAATTTTGTCACCTAGAAAAGGAAACAGGAACTAAGGAAAATAGGACTTCAGGCACCGATTCACTACAAAGGTGTTGGGGGCTGATGAGGAGGAGGACAAAGATCATTCATTGCTGCAAACATGTTAAGAAGGTATAATACATGATGGTTTACAGCTATTCATGCAGAAATTTTAGATAGAGAACCCGAGTCATTTATCTACAGGTCACAGATGATATCAAAAGTAAAAGACCCAAACCCAGTAAAAACTATCCAAACAAACAAAGCTCCCAATACCCAAAGCCAACACATTCCACTAAAGCATGCAGAATAAGAGAATCACACGGCCAGAAACAGTTTTTTGAAAGCCCTCTAGTGGCAAAAGCTTCAACATATAGGAACTGAGCAACTAAATAATAGCAAAATGAAAATGTACTAAGCGCTCTAAATCCTATTTTGAACTTTACAAATTTTTCTCTCTGCAACTGAGCCTCGAGTAGCAGCATTGCAGAAGATGCTTTTGTGAGATTTCGTTTCCTACCTTTACCCCGTCAGAATGCATTTCTTCTTCAGGGGGTGCACTGGACTCTTCTTTGGGCTTCTGTTCCTCTTCTTCTGGTTCTTCTACATTCTCTTTTGAATCCACAGTTACCTCTTTGCTCTCTAAGATTTTCAACTTTGGTGCACTCTGACACTGTAGCCAAAGTGGAGATACATGATCGTAATGAGTGTGAAATATGCGAATAGCAACACTGTTCACAGCCAGTGACTTTGGAAGATCAAATCCATGCCGTACATCATAAAACACATGATTTTTGAACCTGTAAATAATGATTTAATAAATACCTTCCCTAATAAAATTGGCATGACTTATTTTTACATGTGTACCGTGTTAGTCATGAGTGTTCAAACTGTCATTCAATACTAAGCATCACCTAAGTTCCCTTCTGCCGTACGGCATAGTCTCAGAAACAGAGATCGAGAAAAAAGTTAGTGATCACCGTACATTTCCTTCCTGTCTTGTATTGACAGTTGTCATTAAGCCCTTCTGGAAAAAACCTGTAACTGCATTACAGGGATAAAGAGCTACAAAAATTTAATGGTCCCAAGCAGGAAGAAAGTAAGGCCAAAATTAAATGGCAGCTGTTCTACATAGTATACTTGTGGTAAAACAGACAAATTTAATCGGCAAATTCCTACATAGGTGAAGTCCTTAGTTATCTGCACTACATCAGTCTCAGCATCTTCCACATAAAACCCAAAGACATACACAGGCATAAAGGTAATTCTGACAATCACACATCCACCAATCCTTGTGACAGTGTGGGAAACAAGCTAAGAGAAGAGCATAGAAAGAGATCAACCTCATGTCAAATCAAGAATCTAATTTGTGAACTTAGGTTCTTTAATCTGTCAGAGTAAATATTTAAGTCCTCTTTCTTTATTTGCTCCTTGCAATTCCCACCCAAACAAAAGCAAAACTATTCAGATAATACTTATTTCCTGCTTATTCTGGCATGATTAAGCTCAGATGGCCACAGTTCTAAAAATCTTCTAGTAAAGCATAATGGTTTTTTTTATTCTAGGTTATAAATTATAGCTGTTTCCCTAGGCTGACCACAAGGCTGTAACACTACACCAGACTGGGATGTGCTGCACATCAGTCTGACAGTCCTCAGGACCCAGCCCTCTAGCTACCATAATAAAGCTTATGGCAAGGAAATTTTCCCTTACCAAAAAATAAGAGGTCCTTAGTAAAGTCTTTTTACCACGTTATTCCTCATACTTAAAGAGCGGGAAGTCTGCTCAAAAATTTTATTGAAAAATATGTCAGTAAAATGGCAATTCAGTCAATAATTCTAGATTCAGAATCAAATCTTGAGGACATTCACATCCTAGATTCTAGAATCATTTTCTTAACAGAGGAATGAGCACAAAGCACCATTCAGCACTTCGCAAAAAACTCTAAGAGCTTAGAAATTATTTGAATGCATCATCAAAAAACACTCCTTTCAAAGAAATTTCAACACTCTGCACAAGTTTCATTCTTTTACTATTTAACCAGGCTTTAAAAGTTGATCTGTCAGAAATAGCATTCTGCTGTAGCTTTTTAAAAAACATAATTTTTTTTTTCTCTCTCTCTCTCTCTCTCTATACACCTGTATAAAACACACTGCCTCCTTTAAAATAAAACTCTGGTGTAACCAGTACCTTCCTTAGCAACAGAGCACTATGAAATCCATCAGTTAGAGTCTGTAGATTAAATGCTGTTCAACACTAAAAAGTTTACCAAAAATTGATGTTTGCTAGATCCAGGTAGAGGAAGCTAGTTATCATTTCAAATAAGAGTTTTGTATGCTGTACCTTACATTCTTCTTCAGATTTGCCCAAATACAGAGAGTAACATTTTTATCCTTTATGACTGCCTGCACATTTCCGCTGTTAGAATCTTCAGACATATTATCTGTCTACAAAAAAAGACACAACCTGTGGATTAAATCAAGTTTCCTTCTTATTCACATCACATTGATTTACCTAAATTTACATCAAAATAAATCAAAATCACATCTAGGAATAAAATTGCAGCAAACCAAGGTCAAATATGTTGTATTTATGTGCTAAAACATGGCAGTTACAAATTCAAATCTATTTGTTAAAACTTAATGTTCTTTTTCTTCCTTTGATAGTATCAACTTTGTCAGTCAAAATACTGACAAATATGGGATCTTTCACTGTCTTCTTCATAGTACTGCCCGTCTCCCTTAATCATTTGCTTTCAAGAATATTTCTATTTGCTTTCAAGAATATTTCTCAGCAGAAGCAAAATCAAGGGCTTACTGAGCAAGGAAGCACTCCTATGTCACTCTCACTGCACATATTATTTTACATTTGTCAGTATAAAACTTGTTAGATGACAGTTATATTAGGAGTTTAATCCTAGACTCGCTAAAGAAAACGAAGTATTTAACATCTCAGAGAGTTATGAATGTGATCAAACATACAACTGGTTCATTAATCCTCCTATACTTTCCTTTTTTGCTTACTCCAGCAATTCTCTTTTGCTAAGCACACATGTATATGTGATTGAGCATCAAAATCAATGTTTAAAACAAGAAGCAAGATCACTACCTACACACGCAATCCAAAAAACTGATTCACAAGTATGTTTTAATTTTTTTGCCAACAAGTAAAAAAGATTTAAACAAGACTTTAGTTTAAAAAAGAAAATCAATCATATGAACCTATTTTAAAAATTTGTACAAGGTAGCCTTAGAACCTGCTTCGTGCATTTGCAATTTTCTGTACAATCAGCTATCTTCTAAATTAAATCACAGAGACAAAACCGGGAAGAAATTTCATAGGGTGCCATTATTTCTAACCTTTTCAAATCTCACAAAAATTGTCAGTAATTGGATATTAAATGCCTTATGGGAAATTCAACTGTAATTCAATCTAAGATTTTCAGAAATACTGAAGAAATATGAGTCTGGTATCTGTTGTATACATGATTTGGAAAGTAAAACACTAATCCCTGAGACAATACAAAACCAAAAACAACCATCACAACAAAAACACTTGCAGCTAGCCTTATACACATCGTTAACATTACAACTTCAAAGCTGTAAATCTTTCTTACTTTAAGCAGGTGCTCTGTTGCTCCATTGTACTTCTGATGAAGAAGATTCTGCAAGTCCAAAATCGTTTCCTGGTACTGAACTGTTTCTTTTTCTGTTATCTCATTTGCTGGTGTGTCCAATAAAAGAAACTGCAACTTCTCAATTAACTAGAAAACATATATGATAAAACGTACTTTTGTTTTGATACCATCCATAATATACTGTGTGTTCTGTTAGAAAAGCAAGTCAAATTTGCTTCTTTTGTACTTAAACATATATTGGTTACAGAAATATCTTTCTCTATTATAGTTCTAGAAATTGTACTAAGCCAGCATTATCAAAGCTAGACAGTCGACCACTTAGAATAGTGGAAATTCCAGAATCAAGTTTACCTTCCTTCATTCCTCTAATCCAATTCCTTCATTCATTAAGCTAGGGGCTGTGAAAGTTTAGCTGAGAATGTAGACAACTGATGGGACCAATTGGTCATACGAAGAAAGTTTTGGTCAAAAATTAGTTTTAATGAAAAGCTATTATTACAACCTTATTTTTGTTTTCCAGAGTAACAATCTCAAATATGAAACATTAAAAAAGAAAATTAATAGTGAGACATGCAGCAACTACATTTTAATTCTCACGACAATCCTTAATGTGAAGTTTGGAACTCTGCAATAACACTGCTGTCTTCCATTAACCAATAATATCTAGCACCTAAATGCTTTTATAGGACTAAAGAATTTCTAGCTGGCCAAAGTTTTTGACACTGATCTATTAAAAAAAGTCTTTCATTACCATTGTATTTATTGATGTCTATCAAAACTAAACTCTTGATGGGGTTTTTATTGTTATTCACTCCTTATCTACAAATTGCACCTACTACTGTTAACAGACGCTGCACAGACAGAGGAACAATTTTTTCACATTAGCTGTATGAATTGCCTTTTATTTCTCAAGAGTTACCACAATCTTGGGAAAATATTAACTAATTTGTTTGACTCAGTGACAACTATCAGGAACTAATATCAGCCATGAGAGAATAAACAGATCGTATCTGCTACTTTTATGTATTCTAACTGCTACTATGAAACACCTCAGAAAACATACTTGAAATGCAGCAACTTATTACTTAGCAAAGTCTTTGCCATAAAAAGTCAGTGTCCATCATCCAAAAGAGAAGAAAAATTGGCAAATTTAAGACTGTTTATGGCAGAGTTTGTAGTTTCAAAGTGGCTGAATAACAGTAAGATGACTGAGAAATTAGCATTTTAAAACATCATCTTGGCTTTCAAAATGAAGATGATAGCAGATAAAGCAGCTCACAGAACTTCTAAAACTACTATTTCAGGCTGACAGCCTGATTATTAAGGAAAATATTACAATGCTCCTATATTTGGCACATCTTTGTGCTACTGTAAGTACAAAGCATGGACATACATAATGGTGGGGGAAGGGGAGTTAAATAAAAATTAACTCTCACAGAAGGTGAAGAAACAAATTGTTTAAAATTGCCTCACTAATCATCAGCAATTGGTGGATTACATTTTGGGAACCTCTGCTCTTACATTACACTTCACGGGACGAAAATGATACACAGTGAGGCTTCTGCCCACTGAGCTGGTATGTTCTGGGTCAAGACTTTTGAAAATGTAGATAGAAGGGAAGATGGATGTTGTAATACAAGATTTTGCATCAAGCCAAGCGTGGAAACATTGCATAGCGTATGTAATGTTCATGTACATATGTAATGCTCAATCTACATATATACCCTTAAAAGCACTGGACGTTTAAAGTCAATAGCCGTCTTCTTTACACCTAACATTGAACATTTAAGAATAAAAGGAAAAACTGAGGAAAAATTACTGACTATTGAATGTTACAGCCAATTTCAGTCATTTATCTGTAAACAAAACAACACAAAAAGAAATATTAAGGATATGTTCTGGTGACCTTAAACTGAGGAACGCCATTTTAACACTTACATTTAGCACTTCTTTTCCCTTCTCCATCACGACCCGAATGTCCTCATTTGGATCTTCACGCCATAAGCTCATGAAAGTATTTATTTCCTGTAGCACAGTTGGGTCAGGACTTCCATCACAACCAATATAATGCTCCCACTACAGAAGAAAGTTCAAAAGAAAGGCAGATATGGGCATGTGGTACAAATGATTATTGCTAATAAAAGGAAGGATTCTGAAAGAGAAATATATATAGTGACACAAACATTCACCTGCATTTAAACAGTACTGTTACATTATCTTGCTTATCGGTGATAATTTTGCCAGACAAAACTGGTTTACTCTCATACTAATGCATTAAAATACTTGTGCCCACCTAACATTCGCTGTTCATTCTTACTTATCTATCAGTGATTTCTCTTCTTCTAGGCAGAACTTGCATGCCTGCAAAAAAAATCTAATTCAGTATTTGAAACAAGTGAGGGGGTGAAAGAATAAGCGACAGAGAACAGAAATGAACTGGTGCAGGTAGAAGAGGCAGATGGTTCCCAAACTGCCAGCAAATTTAGATATGCCAATAAAATTGATGATACTGCCAGCAAAACTGAAAATTCTTCCATTGACAACACAATTGCTCAAGAGATTTCTACCCCAACATGCCTGTTTTCTTTCCTCTGCCTCTGTAACAGATTTCCTCATCCTTAGCAGCACCAATTCAGCTATTGCAGAAACCTCTGGTGGGAATGTGAAAAGGACAGAATAATCATTGGGTTTTTTTTTTTCCATTTTATTTTCAAATCAATTACTGGACATACTTACAGTAAATAAATAAAGTCGACAACCATAGGTTAAACCCACTTGACTCTATGCAAAAGCCTCACTTTGGCTCACTGGATCAACTTACAAACTATAATATAATTTTTTCATCCATATAATAAGATAATAACAAAACCTTACCTGTCTGTATACTGTGAAGATTAGTTAAACAATGTTACCGAACATTATGTTACAGTGTAAGTAAAATGGATTTTTTTAAAGCATAAGCTCCTGTGTAAATGTATTCCCAACCACTTCTGTAACAATTTCCACTGACTTCCAAAGGAGTGATAATAGCTAACCAAGTGCTCATTGGACTGAAAACTCCTGTACAAAAAATTGATCACTCTTCAGTAATAAAAACATCCAGTCACAATTTCTTTCTTTTTACATCTTTGCACTTAAAACAGAGATTCAGTTTCCTCAATAGGAAAGCACATCCTTAAAAATGAAAGCATTTGTTCTTTGGGAAAAAGGGTAAATTTCATGAAAATATGTAAGCGTACCTGTTAATCAGAATTAAAAATAATTAGAAATCAGCTCTGAAACTTAGCATGTAGTATTATACTTTTTCTTCACCCTAAATATTCATAACAGACTAATGCAAAAGCTGGTACATCTCCAAAGTTTACCAGCATTTAAAGTGAAGATTTATTTTTAAAATAATGTTCATATTGTGCCATTACTTTTCAAAACCAAAATTTCTTATCTTTCACATTCTGAGAATGCTTTTCAGGAAAATCCATAAACTACAACTGTACTCTTTCAAAATGACTGCTAGATTCTATTGTTGACAAAGGTAATAAAGTCAGAGCCTCTCATCAACTGAACAAAGGTATTAAAAATAATCCAAATGTGGCATGATTTGTGACAGTGAAGTTATTGTAGTGCACCCTTGTGGCTATGAAAGCTAACAAAAGCAAGAGTGTAACCAGGCTTGTGAAGGGAAGCTACCATTCCCTCTGCACAGCACTCACAAAGTCACACCTGGAGTACTGTGTCCAGTTTTGGGCCCCTCAATACAAGAGAGAGAGTGGTAAATGAGAGAGTCCAGAGGAAGGCCATCGAGACAGAAGACTGGAGCACATGCCATATGAGGAAAGGCTGTGCAAGCTCTCTTTGTCAACCTGGGGAAGAGAAGGCTAAGGGAGGAGCCAACTGCAGCCTACCAGTACCTAGAGAGGGGTTACAGAGAAGAGAGAGCCAAACTTCTCAGAGGTGCACTTGGATAATGTGTCAGGACAAAGAGGCAATGGTCACAAGCTGTAACAACGGAAATTCCAATTGGATATAAAAAAAAAATTTACTGTGAGACCGGTAAAGCAGTCAAAAAGGTTACCCAGAGGTACCGTGGTATCTGCAAGCTAACCAATTTTTAAAACCCGACTGAGCACCTCAATCTAACTTCGGAGTTCGCCCTAACACGAGCAGAAGTTTGAACTAAATGCATTTCAAGTCTATTCCAAAATAATTTATCCTATGATACTAAATTTATCCTGCAGTGGCTTTGCAAGGAATTAAGTGATATATAAGACGAAAAGGAAAAACTTGTGTCCACAAGTCTATTTAACCTTATTTGGAACCAAGCTAAGTAAGTATCAGTATCAGACAGCCACTGCACGATGTTTTTGCAAGACAGAATTACAAGAGCAAAATGTGCTACTAGTGTTACTCCATACCTTATTATTTAACTTTATAGGTGTACGGTATTATTGGGTGATAATTCAGACTCCATGTATGTCACAATAAATTACTGACATTAACTCTTAGCTGCATTTTCATATATTTCCAGTATGACTATATGACTCAGGTTTCTGTTGTTTCCTTCAAAAAGTTTGGTCAACCTCTCTCCAGATGATATCCAGGAACCACTAGAACAAATGTTGTCAGTTATCTTAAATTCTACAAAAATATTTTCATGATAGAGTTTTGGGTTTTTTTTCCCTGGAATGTTTAAAACTAGAATGAACTAAAAAAAATAAATAAGAAAGGAAAAATACCAAAACATCTGAAACTACAATTATACGTCACTGCTGGGGTAAGTTGTGGGATCCTAATACTTTGATTACCCAGCCTAGGCACCTATTTGATTTCTATTAGGCTCCTTTCCGGCTGATGTGGACAGGTTTCTTTTCCATGCAAGCCAAAGAATAGAGCACAGAAGAGAATGCGCATGGCTGAGTCCTACCTTGATACAGGACTTCAAATACAGCCAACACACAAACTAAAATTCAAGAAATGCAGCATTCCTGGATCCAGTAATAGAGAGAGAGCCTAAAGTCTCTTCACTGTCTAACCTCATGAAACTGGGCAGGTTTGGAAAGCAAGTTTACCTTTGCATATGCTCTATAATCTGTTTTCCATTGTTCCGCAGATACAAACTTCTCTTCTAGTGAATGAAGTTCTGCAAGTTCAGACTCCCTTCGCTCTTGATCCTATCAAAAATATATACATCAGAGAGAGGAATTACAAATTTGGTTTACTTTCTGCAATTATCTTATATCAAAGAAAAATATTTGGGATATTTCAATGAGTTATCATTTGAATAACCCAAATACTAATAACTTGCCTTTTTATGAAACATTTAATTAGGAAGGTTGCGAGAGAGCAATATGTTACTGTCATCACATTAGCTGCAGAGCCATATGATAAACAACGCGTCATATCATTGTTCTCCACTCACTTGAACAGTTTCCATTTAATTACCACAAAACTACCTCTAATGAGAGCTGATCAAAAATGTAAGCATAGGTTGGAAGAAAGTGTGCAAGATATTTTTCCCTTCTAATTTTTACGATTTTAAATTCCTCTTTTCTTTCTAGGGGAAAAATATTATGTGAAGGACCAGAGGGACATGCAAGAGTGACTTTTTTTCCTGAGATAATACCTACAGAAAAGCAAAATTTTTGCAATATATCTCTTTTAGGGGGGAAACAGAAAAAATATTTAGATATGACCTATCGGGTATTGTCTTGAATTCCAGTCTTCTCAAATTCATACACATACATATTTGAATATACACATATATACATGCATACACAAAATTCAGTACATCTGCCCTAACACACCTTAGGTATCAAAAACAGGCAAGGCTATCTCATCTCTGTGAGTCTTTCTAAAAGAAAGCAATACTCAGCCAAACATTGGCTTAGAAAAGAATGCACTAGATATTAAAATTTCATTACCATTTCTCTTTACACGGATTGTGCTTTATTTAATTACTAATCCAACTCACTGCCTTCTCATCTTGCGGGATCTCATACAAGAGTAGCTTTCAGTGGCTTGGCTAAGATTTTTCATGACTAATTTTAACTAAGTGATGCTGGAAAGTTTCCTATACTTTCTTCCCAACACTGAGAATATGAGGAAATTCCTTTTCATTCTCACACTAAATAACTAATATTTTACAGACCTCGTTACAAGTCTAGAAACAGAAGGCTTAGAATTTTTCAATAATTATTGGGTATGAACTAACTTTTGCCTCAAGCCTTTCCCTCTGTTCTCGTTCAAGCCTCTCCTTTTCAAGTCTTGCTGCTGCTTCTTGCTGAGCTTGCAGTCGGGCTTCCTCTGAAGATTGGGAAACATATCAACAGCATAATTATATTTAGCTTAATAAAAACAGACAAATTATTTTGTTATTAGCTGTAATAGCAAAATAACTACAGCAATGTGCAACACAAACATGTATCTTTCATTGCCCAGAAAGCTTCCAAACGAGTCAAATTAATTTGAACCACAGTACTAAAACCCACAAACCCATGGCCCTACTCCTATTGGTCTGTGGCAATACAAGCAGGGAAGTGAAGCAGCAAGCTCTCTTTTTCCCCTCAGAACAGTAGCAGGAGTGTCCTTTTCCTTATCTACAACTTGAACAGACCCAGGTTCTTAATCCATTGTCTCTGGTATATCTGTTTGAGTTCAGTTCGAAGCTACTCTTCTCCTATATCCTTCGGTGGGTACCTCAAGCCTATAGTTATTTCTTCAGTGAAAGGCCTGAGGTTTTGTACATGTCTCAATGGCTGTTATTCCTCTTTCAAGATCAGTTACTCCTGATGAAATTTTCAGTTTTTCTTTTCTGCCATAGGGACTTAGTTTGAAGGACACAGGAACATACCATAAAAGGATCTGAAAGAAGGGTTGAGGAATCAGCTACTCAGTAGAGATAGAAATAAACCCAAGGGAACTAAGCTTTTTTCTAGCTTGTAGTCACGTTATCTGCCACCTCTTCAGACAACCAACTAGTATGCTGACAATAGAATTATTCTATTGGCCTTCCCTGGAAAGATTTCTTGTCAGAGATTTCTCTTGTCTACCGATAACTACACCTGAGAGGAGAAAAACAGTCCAAAACACTGTATTTCCACCTGTTGGGAATATTTCAAAAGGTAATGGCATGAAAGAGAGAAATTCTAACTCTTCCAACCATCCTCATCCCACATTCCTAGTCACAATAGAAGAAATAACTAGAGAAAAGAATACATGTTTAATAGGAAAGTGAGATGTGTGAGGCTGTTACAAGTAACATAGAATGTGGTCCACTGAAGAGAAGAGGGAATAATTGTTTGCATTCCTTAAGTGAAACAGAATGTAGATATAAGTACACTTACAGTTTGGACAGCTGCATTCTATCCACTAGGTTAAAATTAGCAATTTTGTGCAATTACATTCCCTGTAAATGAAGTACACAGTACCTTCTTCTTTCAGTCTTCTTTCTTCTTCTTCTTTCTGAATTCTCAGTCGTTCAGCTTTGCTAAGTTTGTTTTTGCCACTGGCCTTAACGTTGGAAATAAGTTAAAAGGAAACAAATGTCAACGTTACTTTAATGCATTTTGGGAGCTATTTATATTCTATAACTCTGAACTTCTAATCTCTTTCCCGAATTAAGAGTTTAGGCTCCCTACACACTCAACAAAGCCTTCAGAAAGGCAATACACATCATGGGCTCAATTATCTTCTCATTTTCATGATGCAATACATGTTATTAAAATGAACATTGTTCTATGCTAGATATTCCTCCACATGCCCACAACTTGGAAAGTATTAAATCTCTTTTTTTACCATAGAAATTTAGAAAGTGTCTGGCTTCAATCCAGTGAATAAGGGGTAGATCTACTAGGCAAGTTGATGACCCCACTTCAAGTATTTCAGAAAATACCAGGAAATGCACTTTGAGACATATGCAAGTCCAGTATTTAGAAGCATCTGAATTCACAAGACAACTGACAAACAGGATTTCATGACAGTAAAGAAAACTAACTGTAACTCCGGACAGCTAACTGTTCAAGCTGGCACTAACCTCTTTTCAAAGTGCATGACTTACCCTAGATTAACTGTATTTTAATTTTGGGTTTCTCAGAAATCATCTTCCTAATCAAGTCTTTTGCATGAAGGGAAGCAGTCTGGGTATATACTTTTGTATAACAAAAGACAAGATAAGTAACATGCATAATTTATTATCATATAACAGACTAACCAAAACAGAACACTTATTTTTATTCTGTAATTCATGGCTTTCCTAGTTTTCCCCACTGAAAATATACATAAAAATTTGGTAGTTGGAGCTGTGCATATGGGGCCAAATTATCTTCAATAGACTTGAACAGCTTGGGATTTGGAGACATTTGCTGATGGTCCATTACTTTTTTACTCCGCAGCCAAAAGGAAGATTCCCAGGTGGTTTGGGGTGGTGGAGGGGGGGAAGGGAGGAGTTGTTTTTTATGTTGGCACAGTCCTGGAACATTTAATCAAATGTGTAGGATCAGCAGTGTCACCATACAGGATCACTTAACATAAATGCACACAGAAGAAAAATAGACATTTCATATTAATATGTTAACACAAATAGCCTAAGACTGTAATCCTCATTAAGTGTGTATTTACCAAGGACCAGATTATCTTTATTCAGTTTTACTCAATGTTTACACAATTAACACTCCCATTGTATTGCAGGTATAATATGCTTGCAGTTAACGTGGTTTGATTCCATCTGGGGTTGATGAAGTAACACCAGAAGAGATTTCTGTTCCTGATGGTAGACACTCCACAGAGACAGTCTGTATGCAACAGCACAATTAAAAAAAAATAGAAGAGACTACTGTCAGGGAAAAAGAGGAGAAAGATGGGCCAGGAAGTAGATCAAAACAAGCTCATAGAGCTTGTAAAAACAAGGAGGCTGCTTTTGTACTGAATTGCAAAATGAATTTACCAGTATTGTTTATGAGTGGTAGATATAAAGCTATTTTTGTATACATGAGAAAATAAGCAATGATCTTCTGCATAGTCTCTAGCATATCAAGAAAATAAAGAGTTATAAGTCTAAACTAAGGTTTAAAGCAAAGCTATGGATGACAAAAGACAAGATATCAAGGAAAATCAAGGAGTGACTTGCATTGGGTAGTGTATCCATGCACTGACCGAATAACGGTGTTCTGCCACTGACATGCGCGGCGGAAATGAAATTAAATGCAATCATATGCATTCAAAACTTATTCAAAGTATGCATTCATCCTATGCCTCATGAATGCATCATATGCATCCATACTTATTCAAAGCAGAGAAAATACAGAACGTAAATGGGCTCAGAGGCAATGTGGAGCCCTTTCATTGTGAAAGGAGGAGACACTCATGTCATCTACTTGGGCACCTAACCTGTATTTTGTGTTTCAGAGAGCTGAAGTTAGGAGCCTAATTCCCCACACGACCACTGGTGAGAGATAAGTGCTTACAAAGGGTTGAGTCAGGTAAGATAAATGCTTAAAGCAGTATGTGTCTCCTCCAAAGCGTCATCCAGCGAGTAGCTGGATGGTATCACCATGTAAATGAGAACTAAGGATCAAAGGTATGTGTTAGGAAACCTCTCCTCCTCTGTCAGAGAAATAGGTACAAAATGCTACCAAATCAGCATAGTAGCATAGCACTGTTTTTGCAAAGGTATAAATAAGGCAATAAAGAAAGAAGTCCGATACAGCTGAAAGGGAGAGGGAGAACAGAAGAGAACTTAAGTCCAAACGCTTGCAAATGAACAAGATGGTATTACAAAGTCTTCTCACTCGTCCTACCTGAGTATTACTCATAATTTGGTAAACAGTGTTATAAGCATTCCAATTTATAGGGAACTTCAAAATTATCAGAGAGAATCTTTGTCATTCATCAAACAAAAAGTGAGTTCTGAATACTGCTATTTCACATTCTGATTCTGACTAGTATATGTGCAGATATAAATAACAACTTAGAAAACTATTCAGTGTAAATAATCTTCCATGGTAACAAACAAATACATAAATTTAACTTTGAACAGAACGGTTATCATGAAGCATGAACAAAAATAATGGTGAAAATTTAGTGCCAACAAAAATTTGTATATCCACTAGGGTGAGCACAAATCTTTTCACATTTGTTACCACAGCATTTATTTGTAAAATTCTCCTACAAGAATGTCAGTAAAAATCCACTTAATTTTGCCATTAAAGATTTGAGGGAAGGACCAGTTCCCTTTAGTTGAAAAAAACTAAATAAGTTTGGTTACTTTTCTTCCAGTGGAAACGAAAAATCAGTTTGTTTCAGTTACTTATAATCACTTTTTAGCCAACTTCTTTTCAACTTCTTATGACTTCACATAGTACTGACAAATCTGAGATGTACAATTCTACAAGGAATACATTTAAATAATTTTTTAGGGGAGGGGAGTAGAGGGACAGGCTTTAACCATTATCTTTGGAATTAAGAACAACTCATCCACAGGCAGCATAACTAATGAAGTCTGTGGACTTATGTCCTTTTTCTCCCCCACCCCACCATATTCTGCGGCCAGTCTGCTATTCAAGCCAGGACGCTGGCTCACTGCCCAGATCTCTGTTGCCAAACAAAACACACAGTGGCTGAGCTCTGCCACCTTTTCATTAGTAATCCTGCACGAATACAACTCAGCCTCCTTGCAAAACACACATAAGCTTAATGCCTTGGTGACGTCTTTCTCTCCTTCAAATTTGATTGACTAGGCAGTTCTGAAAAAAATACAGATTTGTTTTTTGTTTTTTTTAATATATAGCTTTTTTTAACTATAAAAACACATGTGCATGAAATAAGATGTCACAACATCTTTATAATAACAGTATGTCTTAAAAATATTGTTGTGTAGATGTTAAATCCAAAAGGCACGGCTACTTTCTGTAGTTCTAGCATGAAACACTGTGTAATTTTATCTACATAATTTCCAAAATAATAGAATTGTCTTGTCACGCTATCTAAATAAACATTACAAGGTACAAATTGTTGTTGCTGAACTAGAACGTATATCTACCTACCTACCTTTTTTTTCTTTTTTGGACCCTAAAAATTCAGGAAAAAAAAAAAGAAAGAGAGCATCAGAGAGCAGGATAAAGATTATAAAGAAATAATTATAATAAGACAACAGTTCTGTAAAGTTAGGTAAGATTAATTACTGAAAAATGATAATGGCAGTAACTTCAACATTAAAAAATGTGTTTTCCATGTTTTCTGAATGGTTGATATGATGTGCTCATGTTAAAACATTAAATTATATCAGGCAATGACTTCAGTAACAAAGAAACACCACTCTTTTGTTATTCATGGGGAAACTCTGCACATGAAGTATAAAAAGGAATTACAGGGCTCCTCAGAACGATTACAACAAATAAGAGTAGATTCCAGAAAGCCAAATATCTAACACTTGCTCCCTTGTTTGGTTTAACACACAATTACTTTTTCTGTGCAATGTCTGAATACTGCCATGTGAATTTATACCTTTTCCGTGTAATTATCCACATTAGAGTATTCTATGTGGGATGGAAAGGAGAACAGGAAGAAAGAGAAGATGGGCTTTCCTGGGGAATAAATAAATGCTTGCTGCGATAAAATGATTCTCACAAGGGGCGATGTTTTAGTAAAATCCAAGCTGAATTTCATGTTTAAGAGTCACAGTGACAAACCGTATCATAAACAACTAGATCAGGGGACTGTAGAAAAGGTAGTCTGCCTTTTAGAGCTAGTTAATCGCTTAAAGCATTAGTTTATGTCCTCTTGCCCGTACACTGGTGTTTCAGCAGCATACTTTAGTCTGCATGTTATCCATTTGGCTACCTAATCAGACGTGACTATGACCTCCGCTCTCGCCTTTCCTATTAAGGGCTCAAAACCCTGAGGCTACACGTGCACCAGTCAACTAAGCAGGACCGAGGCGCGACGCCGGTCTCTCGGCAGCCCCCGTGTCATCAAGGGCACGGTTTCAGGTGCTGCCATCCCGCAGGGGAGGGGCAGGAGCCGTGGCCAGGAGGCCGCGCTCAGCAGGGCCGCCCGGTGGGGCCTCCGGCGCCAGCCCCCCCCCCCA